CGACGGGTAGTTAGGTATTCTGTAAGTAACGCATCTAAAGGGTAAGCGGGACGCACGGTTCACCAGCGGGCCGCAGGGATCTGCTGCTATCTAAACCAATAGATAGCCATAAATACCGAGCCAACGGCTGATACGGCTGATTAAACCAATGAGATGCTTGTAATTTCTTCTCGCTACACTAGCTCGCAGGGAAGGCCCCACTATTCCAACCAGGTACTTGTCGCGTCGCCTCCCCCCACCCTAGACCGGGTGGTGGTCGGCCCGGACTCAAGGGCCACCCGGACTCAAGGGCCAAAAAATATGAAGTCTCATGTAAAATGTTTTACAGTCCACCAACGCCATATAAATTGCATATAAAAACTAGACAGGTGTTAAATACAAGCATTGTTCACCTATCTCCCTGAGTATCAAAGAAAAACCCGCTGTTTTGAGGCTCTGTTGAAGCCACTTCTTCCATCGGCTGCGGCACGCCAACGACATGGCTCTTATAGATTTTCAACAAATCCCCATCATGACGGCGTTTTATGAGGCGATTCGCATCTTTTACATAGAGTGCACCACTCGCTTTGACTTGGCGCTTTGTAGTTTTTTGATTCTTGCGCGTTGCTATATCACGAACCTTGGCAAAGCTCTCACGGTGTAGATCGCCTAATTCGGCCAAGGTGAGACTGCCTTGATTAACCACTTTTATACGGCGTGAAAGGCCCGGGCTTACTTCGTCAAGAATATCCTTTATACCGTCAATCGATTTTTCAATCTTATTGACATAGCGACGTAGTTTTACGGCCGTTGATGGTGGAGATATTGATTTTGTAGTTGGTGAGCTGGGAATAGTGTCATCCGCCTCGCCATATATTTTTAGTGCATCCCCTTCAGCAACAAGTGCTTCAAATGCTTCCTCTGGCTGAAGCATCATATCAAGTATAAGCCGAGGATTAAGAGGCCAAATTCCTCGTTCTCTCCAGCCGTGCCGAATCGTTCGTGTGGTAAATGTCTTTATCCGGATATCGCGTAATTCTTCAAAAAAGTCGTTTTTATCAAAATCGAAGCCACCCAAGCGTGCAATCTTGTTCACAACCCGTCCATGAACATGTTTATATTGCTGAAATGGCACTCCATCGAGCGGTTGTAAAAAATGCGTAGAATGAGGCGGAAATCGGAATGGGCGAATGTGCCAAATTTCACAATATTGCACGAACTGTATAGTAAGATGGGTTGTATGATTATCCATAAGAAGTAACCGCCAATCCGGGAAGGCCCCGGGCCTAGAGAAGTGGTCAAAGTGTTGAAGCCATTCGAATGCGATCTCATCTGTGATAAATCCATTCGAAGCAGGTGCAACTAGCCAGTCGTCATCTTTTATATGCCGGTACCATTCCTCCAAATGGACCTTGCCTTTTGGAATCAATAAAGGTGGTATAATCTTTCCTTCGGCATTTATACCCTCAATGACAGTAATTGATTCTCGAGAGGACAGGCTAGATACCCTTTTTGATGTTTTTGGATATGCTGTTACCACCGCTTCATCTTTTCCTTGTCCAACAATGAATCCGGTCTCGTCGAAGTTCCACAGATTTTGAGGGCGAATTTTGTATTGTTGTATAGCGAGCTCGAGGTCAATAAACCAGCGCTCAACCTCACCATAATGCTCTGCAACGGTACGTTCCTTTTCTTGAGGCTTTTGAACGATTCGTACATATTGTTTTGGCAGGCGCTTGATAAAATCGTGTACCCAATTTTTTCCGGCACGAGGGGCCTCTCCTGGACCACTGAAATCTTTGCCGAGCAAATAATTCGCACTTTCTTCAATTTGCTGATTCGTAGGAGGCGCACCTATATTATCTAGATACTCAATCCATAGAATAAGTGCCTTTTCTTGATCTAGAGATAGTAGGCGCCTCGTAGGTGGGCGTGTTGAGCGAGAGGGTAAGCCATGCCACCGACGGGACAGTTTTTTGCGAGACACCCCATATTCACGCGATAATTTGCTAAAATTCGGCTTTTTTTCGTGTTGACACGCACTGAGGGCCTTTGCAATCAATTCCTCCTCTTCTTTATATAATTTAGGGGTCATTTTGGCTCTGGTTTTGATGTTTGTAAATGCCAAGTTGAGATTTTGAAATTTTTGGCCCTTGAGTCCGGGTGGCCCTTGAGTCCGGGCCGACCACCACCCGGTCTAGGGTGGGGGGAGGCGACGCGACAAGTAAGTCAGGAAGTACATTTGCGGACATGCTTATTTAAGTTGATTTCTACGGAGTGTGTCCACTGTCCACGTTCAAATTTACTAGCTACTTATTTTTACCAAAATTTTTGACCGACGTGCTTGACGAGCACATATTCCAACACCTACACTAACAGACAAACATGTGTATATGAGCTAATAGGGTTATATGGACTTGAATCTGGGCTCCCAGACAGGCTTCGATATTAGGGCGAACATGAGCGCAAATATAGGAGCGAATACAAGCGTGAATGTGAGCTTGGAACGGGTATAAGATTTGTACCCTAAGGCCCAAGGCTAAATAGACTCCATTTGTCGACAGGTAGAGGATGCAATTTCGAGTTTGTGAAAACCTCATTTTGTGAACTCCGTGGCGTTGAAACTTGCATTCCCTAGTATGATTGACTTTATTCTACGTAGTACTTATGGCTCCGCAGTCCGTACTTCGTAGTCCGTACTAATTTTACTGAATCAGCGCAGCGTACGTAAAATATTCCACAACCAAAATGTCACGGACCTGGATCCACCTTAGTTCTAACAGCGGTGCGTCGTGATACGTTAGGATAATTGAACCTCGCACAGGTTCCGACCAATAGTATAGTGGAGCGTAGTGGATGGTATGTAACGAAGTAACAAACGGTAATGGGACGGTGCTTGGGAACAGTAACAAACTAAGATAGAAGAGATCCCCCGTACAGCCTGGTGCCCGTACGAGTTAGAATGCCTTGCTGACTGTGATGGACGCTCAAGGCCCAGAAACAACTTCATTTCTAAGCGTAGCAGTATTGACGAAGAAAACTAAGTGTGAAGAAGAAGAAGAAAGGGGAAAACTGGCGCTGAGCCTTGAGGCTCTCCAAATACACTCTGTCATGGGATGGAGGCCTTATGGGGAAAGCGGTCTAAAATGGCAGAATTGTAAGATCATATCAACCAACTTGTTTGTAACTTAGGCCTTCCCTTCCTCTTCTCCCAAGCTTAGGATTATCATTAGAATAGGCTTATTGAGACGTCACACTGACTCTCACTGTTGTATTCGAGTGACTCATGTCAAAGTGACTTAGATCAAAGAGCTATGAAGAACTAAATACATGATGGTAAAAGAGTGTCCTTATATATCCAGTCCTCCACGTTCTGTATATCGTATATCGTATACTTTTGCAAGTATACAGTATAAAGTATACGATATCCTCCAATGATATCCCGTTGTTTCGTATATTCTTATCTCTGATAAGATAACGGTATATCTTTCCTATCATCACGTGATTCATCAGGTCCTCCTCCCTTATTGGTCAATACCTGTTACTGTTTGTGACCCGTAACAGCATTTCCTTGTAATTTGCAACCTTTCCTTTTCTGCTTTAGTATGCTTTAGTGTCCTGCAGACTTGATTCGTAACACAAAAGCTTGAGGTCGTCTTATTGTCTTCTTACGTTGGCACTAGTCCCTAATAGACTTAGCATGCTCCACAGACCTCGGGCGTACTATGTACTCCGTAGTACACAAAGTTTGATCTAACTGATTTAGCGCTGATTTCAACGAACCCTAACGCATGCATTTCCTTAGCCCTAGTTAGCCGGAAACAAAACGGGACCACGCGCGAAAAGGCAAAGCAAACCTGCCTAGGAAAAAAAAAAGCGCTAATATACATAGTACTACTCTGTACGGAGTAGATTGCTGTATATAGCAGTAGTATTGTTATGAGCTGACCTCATGAGCATGTTCGGGCGAAGCCCTCACGGATATTGACAACAGCACTCTTCGCCGAACCCTAGCAGACCCGAACATGAAGCTATTCCCAGATCACGAGTAGACACCCGATATCCGTTGGAACCGGAGTTCGAGAGAGAAGTCCGTAGCACAACCGGGCACTCAACATCCGTTAAACCGGAATTCCAGAAGGAAGGCCGCCGGAAGCTCCTGATTCTCCTTGCCTATATGAGATTGTATGCGCGTGACGGACTTGTTGTCTTCTTTCTCTTTCCTTCCTCATGTTACTTTTTCTATTCAAGCATGCCCTTATAGTGAGCATTAGGCGGGACTAGCCCGTAACAAGTATCCACGGATCTGCCAGTTGAATGATCCATAAATGGGGTACGCAACTCGGCTTTCTCTCAAACGTAACCTATTTTCAAATACATATTTGGCATGGGATGTGGACTAGTTACAACTGACAACTTATGAGGCTTACTACTTAACCGAGAATCAATTTACCCGCTGCGCCGCCATCCTTGGTGAATAGTGGCACTGGCTTAACGACAAACGCTCAAACAATCTCTCCGAGGGATTCTTTTGCGAAAGCTGCATTCATCAATGTTAGTACGGGAGTAAAGAGTACTATACGCACTAGGACAAAGTCAGTCATCCTAGTCTATTTCGTCGGTTTCACACTATCGTACTGGGTACTAATATCTCAATTGCTTAACTGGCTTCGGCGATTTTCGCACTAGCCCCTGCAGTAGTCATATTGATTAAGCTGACAAGGCAAGCCTAAAAACAAGCTCAAGCCTCACCGAGCTAATCGATTAGACAATTAGACAACTTAATAAGTTAGTAACTATGCAGCTTATGACTTGGCTCGAGATTTATCTTGTACAACAGAACACGTATCTAGGACCTTTTATGTACACACAGGCAAGCAGTGCCAAAAGAGCGTTTAGCTAATGTGAATACCCCATTGGAGGTACGTATATTGGGATTATAGGCTGGATAGTATGGACCCATTTAGTTATTTTTGAATACCTAGGTACCTAGGTAGCTGTTTATTCGGAAATATCCGGATGTCCTGCAGAATATTTCCACATTAAACCTCTTCGCCTGGTGCTTCAATGGAGATTAATTTTGATCTTTTTAAAATTGCAAATTTCCTAGTGCATAACATCACCCAATCCGACTCATGGCTCTACGCCCTCTGGCTTCAAAACTATAACTATCCGCTAGCTGCGATGCTACCTTGCTCTTCAATTGGCCTGTCACGATGGGAGGAAAAGTCTCAATATTATGCCACGAATACTTTGCTAGTGACTTGAAAGCTCCGCTGAGAATGTAACCTCGCTGTAAAGTAATTTCTAATTATTTCACCACCTTCCTGTGAAAGTGCGGTAGACTTGCTCCATAATTCAGGAAGTAAGACCCACAAGCGCAAACTCTCTAGTACTGAGCTGTGCTCGAGCGGCATTGGGTCTTGGAGTTAATGGTTTCTACTTCCGGGCTATAGTATCTATCGGCACGAGGATCTCGATACGTACAGATACATGTTCTAAGGAAAAAGCTTGTATCGTGAATGATGGACATTATTAATATTGGGAAACTTTTCCCGATCTTTTAGCTGACAGAGTCTTTCTGATAACTATACCTTCGTTCGTTTGCCTTTGACTTCCTTCCTCTCTTCTCCGTAGTGAGATTCTTCCAATGAAGCCCCCTCAGGCGCTGGTAACAGCTCTTCAGCTGTTGCTCCTACTTTCCAAAGTTCGAGCACAAGATGGGACATGCTCAGAGGATAATCCCTGCACTGAGGGCTGCTGCTCAAGTGTCTCCCTGGTTTGCGGATATGGCCCCGACTACTGTGGCAGTACTTGTATTGCAGGAGCCAGCACCAATGGCACATGTGCACAGTTGGCTGAATGTAATCCTGGTGTATATCCAGGCTGGGGTGAGACTTGGGGTATGAATCATCCCCTACTAGCAGATATACACCTGGCAGTGTCTTAGATGATATCGCTTGCTGACTCCCTTCCAAAAGCATCCAACTATTCGTCTGCCCAGTCTTGTCCATTGAACGTTTGCTGCAGTGAATATGGATTTTGTAAGCAACCAAATATTGCTTTGTTTTGACTAAGACAGCAAGATTCATTTGATCGATTAGGTGGCACGTCGTCTGATTTCTGCGGAAGTACGACATGGCCCTCTCCTTCTTGCTCTGGTAATTCGTCTGTCACGCGGCGAATCGGCTACTACGAAGCCTTTAATCTGGATAATCCTTGTAATAGTAAGATTCTCTCGAATTATTGTGCATATTCTTCTGCTAACGCTTTCTGCGCAGCGATGACCCCAGAAGAAGTACACTGATCCTGGAGAACACTGACATGACTGTTGCTAATAACTATGTTAGATCCCTGTTGGAGCTTACACACACTTGATCTTCTCCTTCCTATACATTGATCCAGATACTTATGAGATCACGCCAATGGAATCTAACCAAACTGATCTCTACGCTCGCTTCACTACTCTCAAGCAGTATGGTGTAGAAACGTGGATCACTATTGGTGGATGGGCAATGAACGACCCAGGGGAATATTCCAATGTCTTTTCTGATCTTGCCGCATCCTCTACGGCACAGAAAGCTTTTCTTGACTCTCTCGTTTCGTTTTTGGGAACATATGGGTTTGACGGCGTCGACTTTGATTGGTACTCCTTTAATCCCAGAGCTCAATTGCGTTGTTCTCCTGCTTTACTGACTTATCTTTAGGGAATATCCCGGTGCACCGGAGCGATTCGGAAATGATGCTGACTACGCCAATTTTGTTTCGTTTCTACAGAATGTGCGGTCCACTCTTGGGGACTACTATGGGTTGTCTATCACCCTACCAAGTTCGTACTGGTATCTTCAGTACTTTGATATTGTCAATATTGCGAAAACGATTGATTGGGTGAGTGTGCGGTTCCCAATTGCTCACAGAGTCAATCTAATTGGCATCTAGTTCAATTTTATGTCCTATGATATCTATGGTACTTGGGATGCTACAATTTCCTCGATCGGGAACTATGTCTATGCCAGTACCAATCTTACCATGATTGAATCAGGGTTGCAGTTGTTGTGGCATAATAACATCACGGCTAGCCAAGTGAACCTTGGTCTTGGCTATTATGGCCGTAGTATGTATTCCATCCATTCCATCAATATTTTGGATTGTTTCTCATGGTGATTAGGTTACACACTGAAAGATTCTTCATGCACTGCGCCTGGATGCCCATTCACATCCGGAGGTATGTTCAAGTCATCGAGGCATTGACCAAATTGATTCTTGTGTAAGGATGGAGATCTAACAATGAATTAGCTAAGGCAGGTCCATGCTCTCGCACAGAGGGCATGCTTTCTTATGATGAAATCATGGATATTATCGATGATCCGTCAAGAAACCCAACGGTGTGGCTTGATTCTGCTGCAGCTGTTAAGATCGCTGTCTATGATGATGATCAATGGGTTGCTTATGATGATGCTGAAACTCTTCAAATGAAGCTGGATTTTGCAAATTCAGTGTGCATGGGAGGGTAAGTTCACGTACAGAATGAAACGCTTCACAAAGTGACCTGCTTGCTAATATCCAAATTTCCTGTGATCGTAGAGTATTTGCATGGGCTGTTGACGAGGATCACACTGGGGGCCTTTCTGGTAAGATTATTAATTGGTCACCTACTTGAGCGTCACATCAATGACTAACACTTTCTTAGATTCTGTTTCTAATTCTACTAATCTCTTCCCGGCTGGAGGAAGTGGAAAGGTATATGTGCTACCTGAAATTTGGGACAGTGATTCGCCCGAAATTTCCTGCCAGCCACCGTGTACATTTATCTTACCACCCTTCCCATTACCAACTACAACGACAGTCAGTTGGCCAGCAATCACCACTACGTTGCTCGTCAGTTCCAATGGAGGCGTCACCACAACGACCACCACGATCCCGGTTCCTGAATTTCCGCTATCTGTCGTTCCTTTCTGGCCCGTGACCATTGCCAACAATCAAACATTCGGTGCCTTGAACCCGGTACCAAGCGTTACACCGCCGTCTCTTGTGTTGAACTTGCCCGGATCGGTCACTCCATTTCCCCAAGTTACAGTCAATTATACTGTAGTTGCAGAGAATCAGGTGACAGGGACATCCTCATCCACAGGTACTATTACCTCTCCTCCCTCCACAACCATCACAGCGTCCGCCGTCGTGACGCCGTCGCCGATTGCGGCAGACATGACTGAAGGCTGCACTCAATTTTACCAGGTTCAGAGCGGCGACTCTTGCTGGAGTATTGAAACAACATACGATATTGCTGCTTCGGACTTTGAAGCTTGGAATCCTGACGTCGGCACCGGTTGTTCCAGCGGCGTCTGGCTTAATTATTACTATTGTATCGGCCACGGAAGCCTTACGTCGACTTCGTCAGGGTCCGGGGGCCAGCAGTCCTCAACAGGAACCACTATTGTTCCCATATTTCCTAGCACATCGCACCCTATCACCATCCAGCCGCAGCCTACTGTTGCGGATGCGGAACCCTCGATTACCATTCCTCCAATCAATGTTGTCATCGCACCGCCGACGGACTCTTCCTCAAGTGACGGTGACTGTCAAGGTTGCGGCAATCTGAATTGCGAGCTGTTCGGTTGTGATGGGAAGTGTGGGTTTTTCGGTTGTGATGGGGGCTGCGGTCTTTGGTGGTGCGGCGGAGGTTGTGGTTTGGAATATTGCGGTCCCGGTTGTAGTGATGGTAAGTAATCGACGATATACTGGTCTGAGTTGGTACTGACGCGAGCTCAACAAGGTCCCTGCATCGTTGAGGGTGGCGGTGGCGGTGGTGGAAGTACTGGCACCATTGGCACTGATAATACGAATGATGATTGCAGCTCGATGGAGACGGCCGATATCTGCACTGTGTTTATAAAAAGCTTTTCAACATCCGGAATGACATCAACGTCTACCACTACTACGGTAAGTTGAGGCCCTGTTCCGGATCTCCTAAAATACTCACACTACTAGACGGAATGCTACACCACTGAAGGATGCTCAGTGGCTCCGTCCACGACGACAACGACCATCAGTACAACTGGAACGTATTCCACTATCACTAATAGCTTCATGTTTGTGTCGCAGCCAACAGAGGCAGCATCTGTCATGGATTCTATTTCTGCTAGCATTGTTAGCCAGCGAAGTGTCTGGGACGCCACACGCTGGGCTGGTTATACGATTACAGTCACCCCTACATCCACAACAACTAGCTCTCAAGCCGCCAAGACTGGATTTGAAATCATACAACTCGCTATTGACTACAGCGATTCTGACTACTCATTTCTGGCTATCAATTACGATGGACTGTCTAATCCTATCGTAATCAATGATACACATCCATTTGGTGAGGATCTAAAGAGTACGAACAGCCAGACTACCTTCTGTGATCAGACCTCCACGTTCGTTCAGGAGGACTCGGGCGATGTCCTGGGTAGCAGCAACAACGGCAATGAGTATGACTGCACAACTGTTGTGAGACCAGTCACAACCACCACCTCTGTCACCATCTCCCCAACCAGCACAAACAGAGCCTACTTTATCCCCATGTGGCAATGCTTAACCAATATTTGTGATTGAAGATCACATTCGCAGGAAAGTCATAGTGTTATGAAAGCGCCCAGTGGCTTGGGCAGTGGATTTGTATTAGCAGGTCCCATTAAATAAAGGGAACTACTTATTATTATACGTACAAATGTATGTTGTATAAGTTATAAATTGTAGTAATATGCTGGATTGTATATACAGGTGTATGTTCTCTGACCATACGATCGGTATTCACACAGTATCTTATTCCATGTTGTCTTTGACATCCTCAGGAACCATGGCACTATGAGACCAGATGGATTGTCCCCTTCGAATATGATTGCAGCTCTCTCAGACTTCTATTCCCATCTTTGACCATACTTTCAAGATTCTAGATGAATTCTGCATGTCACCAACAGCGCCAAAGAGCAACATGCCAGACCTGTGTTGAGTGGGAGATGACTTCTTTATGTCTTGAAGCTTTTTACATCGTCAAAGGAGAGGTACCGGGCGCTAGTCTCAAGCAGGTACCGTCCTTCACCGCCTGATACCCGTTATCACCTGATGCCCGATTTTGCTTCAAAACACGAAAAATCGCGTCTATTTCAAAGCGCGATAAATCAACCATTATGGATAAATATGAGCTTGCACTTGAAGCTTTACATTCCTTAAAGCCAGGAGAAAAGCGTAATGTTGCTTTGATTGCAAGAACATATGGTGTTGATCCGTCAAATCTTAGAAAACGTTTTCGCAAGGTTACGGGCCCAAAAGAAGCACAATACAACAATCAACGACTATTGAACGAAGGTCAATCTCAAGCACTTATAAGATGGATAAACCATCTTACCGAAAAAGGCCTACCACCTACGAATTCGATGCTGGCAAATTTTGCAAGAGATATATGTGGTAGAAAGCCTGGAAAGAACTGGGCTAGTCGCTGGTTAAAGTCTCATTCGGACCAGGTTATTTCTCACTATTCCACGGGCCTCGACATGGACAGGAAAAATGCAGATAAAGCATGGAAATACGCGTTATATTTTGAGCTTCTTGGTCGGAAAATTAAGCAATATAATCTTGCTCCAGAACAAATCTATAACATGGATGAAAAAGGCTTTATGCTTGGGATAATGACAAAAGAGAAGAGAATCTTTTCTCGGCGCAAATATGAGAAAGGAGGCCACAAACAGTTTCTTCAGGATGGAAATCGAGAATGGATAACTACAATTTAGTGACATCCCACGGCTAAGTCGCTATAATGCTCGACTTCTCAATACCTTTACGCGAGGAGAGATCTCGCAGAATCCTATCCAGCCTCTCCAGAATCCTCAGAGTCGCTCTCGGTACATTCAGACCTGGCAGAGGTTGATCTATTATTGGAGTCGAGTAATGGATGACCAGCTCCTTCCTAATCCTTTATTTCTGCCAACAGAGGATCAGAAGTCTACCTGGGATGACGTGATCACTGCTGCTAAGAATCTAAGTCACCAACAAGAATTAGAGCAGAATAATGATGAGGCTCTCCATTAACTCCAGCAGGAGATGGATAAACAAACCCTTGCATTTTGCCTTGAGATTATCCAACAGTCAGTCTCTTTACGAGCCTTTAACTCTATCCTGGTCTCCTTTGCAGCACTTTTATTCTGGATACCAGATAAGAAACAGTGGATGACAGTTAGCAACTACACCTCCTTCCTCTCGCAACTGATCTACAACTGTCAGATCTGGATCCTAGCCCTTTCTATCCTAGAACAACAGCACTATCCCACTCAGGATCTTGGAGATATTATTGTTAGACACCGCGATCGATGGCTACTTAACGATACCAAAGGACCCGTGGCTGAACTACTGGAGAATCGACTGTATGCATTCCAGATTGCAATGAGTGAGGTCCCCCCTGCTCAAGTACGATGGGATCGAGAGGGCCAAGTCATTACATTCCAAGATGTAAGTCTGTCCTTGTTGGAACTCTCTCAACTGATCCGCGAGGGAATCTCTACCGCACAGACCATCTTCGAGCAAGAATTGTGTTTATCCAGCCCATCATGGCCAGCTACCGAGATCCCTCAATTTAATCTCAATAATCTGATGGATAACTGGGACGCTACACAAGCTGGTGCATCCTTTCTCACAGATTCTCGCAATCATGCTTATGTGGTACCCTATCAGGATTGGCTCTTCCGTCGAGTCAGTCAGGATACAGTTCTATTTTCAACGTTTTGGGAGTTGGGCGCTGATCAGACCTGGCGGATCTCGCAGAAAATGGTAGAACAGTACGAAGCGACTGTCCAGCGATTCCTAGAGGCCTTACTTGTCCCATTCTTTATTGGATCTGGCCAGCAAGCGCGACGAACAGAGTTCCTCGGAATTCGATGGCGCAACACCCTCCTGCATACTCGTGATCTCTTCCTCCATGATGGTCAAATGCTCTTTATTCTGGATTATCACAAGAGTCGTCATCGCAGCAATGCCTCTCGATGGCCTGCCCGGTTTCTCCTCCCAGAAGTAGGACAGTTAGTCACACAGTTTCTTATCTTGATTATGCCCTTCCGACAGTGGTTACAGCACAAGGTGCAAACTGCCCATTCTCGCACATCCACTCCACTCTGTGACTACCTCTGGGCCTCCACGACAAAGCCTTGGTCCGAGGATCATCTTACGCAGACCGTGATCCGTACTGGAGAGCAGATCCTTGGTAAGAAGATTCATATTCGAGCCTGGCGCCAGATCACTATTGGGATTGCCATCAAGAAGTTTGGAACCCTCGCGTCGCAGTTCATTGAGGATTCTCTTGATAATGAAGATGATCTCACAGAGGATCACAGTGGCAGTATGGCTGCGGTATTCCACTATCAGGCTGCACATACGCCTCATACTGGGAATCAGGTCTATGGAGGGACAGTCAATTTTCGAGCCGGTCTCACCGATGCTGGTCTTCAAGAATTCCGTCAAGCTAGTGAGACCTGGCATCGACTTATCAAACAGCCCTCACAGTATTCTACACCCAGCTCATTGAAAAGACAATGGCCTACTCTATTTACTCCCCAGTCCTCCCAACCAGCCAACGTCAATACAGAGTGGGAATGGGACGAGAGTCCTTCCAAGCGAGCGCGAAGCCAGGCGACTGAGTCCACACTAGTTCAACAATTTCATCGTTGCCATGAGCCTCGACAGGGTCACCGCCGCTGGACTATGGAGCAGGCGCAGACGATTCTAAAGCGCATGTATGGACCAGAAGCGCAGTATCGAACGAGTAATCAGCAACAAGCCTTGCAGTATATCATCCAGGGTTCAAGTCAAGTGGTTGCAGTTCTTCGAACAAATGAGGGCAAGAGCCTGCTCTATCTCCTGCCCTGCCAGCTTCCTGGTGCACGAACGACCGTGGTAGTGCTTCCTTTATTGGTCCTCAAGCAGGATATGCTCCTTCGATGTCAGAATGCTGGAATTGAGGTGACCATCTGGAATCAGCAGGATGAATCAAGACACCTCGGATCGAGTCCACTGATCCTCGTGAGCGTTGAGCAGGCAGTACACATCAACTTCCGAACCCTTCTTCTCCGGCTCCAGCTTGCCAATCAACTTGATCGTGTCGTATTTGATGAGTGTCATCTGACTCTAACCGCCTCTTCTTATCGCAAGCGAATGGCCCTACTACCTACATTACGTGATATTCAGTGTCAGATGGTCTTTCTCACTGGCACACTACCACCCATCATGATGGCAGAATTTGAGCGGACCATGCTACTCTCTAGGGCACGATTGATCCGTAGCCTCACCACTCGCCGTGACCTATCCTATCGGGTCATTTCCTGCCCTATGAATCAGGACTTCTTCCAGTTTGCGATTCCTTGGATCCAGAAAGAGCGCACCCAACTCGACTCTAAAGAGCGTGCAATCCTCTACTGCCAAACCCAGGCGATTACGGAGGAAGTAGCTACGATTCTGGAGTGTCCCTTCTACCATGCCGATTCTGGGACTCGCGAAGAGAAGGCGCAAACCCTTGAGACGTGGCGTAATGGAAATCCAAACTGGATCGTTGCCACTTCTGCCTTTGAGATGGGAATTGATCACCCACGAGTCCGCCTTGTTATCCATCTCGGAGCCCCATCCAGTCTCATTGACTTTACACAGGAGGCAGGCCGCCTAGGACGTGACCAACAGGGCGGTCGTTCGATCATCTTACTCCCTCCATCCTGGAGTGTTAGCAAGTCTAGTCGGCCTGGGCATGCAATCTCCTCTGATGTACAGGCTATGCATGCTGTTCTAGATCAGCCAGACTGTCGAGTCGCTGCTATGAGCTCCTTCCTTGATGGGGTGGCAGTAGCCTGCAGCGCGCCTGATCCTCTCTGTGATCGATGTCACTTCCACCAAGAAAATCCCGAATCTCTTTCCACCGATTCTACCACGACTAGCTCATCTGATCTAGAGGAGAACGTCGACCTTGATCTGACCATTGGATCTCAGATGCGAATCCAGCAGGTCCAGCAGGAGAGCCGGCAATTACAGCAGTATGAGGATTTCCTCCAAGCGCTCCGTGGCACCTGCGTGATCTGCCGTATCCTACCATCATCTTCTGCTGACACGAAAAAGCATTCCTTTATCAACTGCTGGAATCCTTATCGACAGGACTTTCTTGAGGCAAAAAAGAGGGCACAGCAGGAAGGAAAGCAGTTTCAAGGCTGGATGCAGCGATATGCCGGGTGCTTTCGTTGCTATAATCCACAAGCAGTTTGCAGTCAACAGGGCCAGGGAACCTGCCTCTATCCTGATCTCGTCATGCAAGCTTGCTGGGCGATCTATCAGATTAAGGCCTGGACGGAAGGCTTGCTGCCTGGTCTTGGTGGTGAGCACGTACAATCCAATGAGGCAGCATATATGCTTTGGCTAGGGCAGAAGCGAACGACATTTGGGGTTGAAGGATCGAATGCTGCCTGGGTGGCTTATCATGTATTCCAACAGCTTCTGGAGCCTGCAAAAGGTTCAGTTTAGTCCACTAATTTCGTTTGATAGTGTTTACAGAGTTAACATTGAAGAGGTTATATCACAGTCCCTCCAAT